GCCTGACACCTCTGGCGGAGGCGTCAGGCCTGGGCAAGGGGCCGATCAGGCGATCAGAGGGTGATGGGGGTCTATGCCTCTGGCCGAGGCATCAGGCCTGGGCAAGGGGCAGAGCCAGCAATCGGAGGGGTCAGGGGGTCCCCTGCCCAGGCCTGATGCCTGGGCCAGAGGCATCAGGCCTGGGCTGGGGGCAGAACCAGTGATGGGGGGAAATGAGGGTCCCCTGCCCAGGCCTGACGCCTCTGTCAGAGGCGTCAGGCCTGGGCAAGGGGCCGATCCTGCGATTGGAGGGGGATGGGGGGCAATGCCTGAGGGCTCCCAGTATGTGAGAGGGGGCAGGCTGGGCTGAGGGACACCCCCCCTCCCCCCACCCAAACACCTAGTGCGCAAATTTCGTGCACCGGGCCCCTAGTAATGCTATAATGAGGATAAACCTGTTTTCTATGTGCACTGTTCTGAAAACTTTATATATATTATCTTGTTTTATCCTCAGGACACTTATGACATAGGTCATATTCTCCCCATTCTTCACATAGGAAACTAGGCTACAGGGAGGCTCAGTTACAGGTTTGGGAGCAGGTAGAAAAGTCAAAATTTGAATCTAGTCAGTCTAGTTTCAAGCACCATCCCAGAATCTTGTCCAGAATCTTGTTTTTAACCTCTATGCTTCTGTTTCATCATCTGTAATATGGAAATCACAATATTTAACCTGGTTATTATAGTGACAGTAGAGGGTTCACGGCATTCATTCTCTGCATTAGAGATTTTAAACGTTGCTCAATTAATTTATCAGAATATAGATTTTTAAACCTAAAATAGATTTATAGTTATGTATTTTATAATCATTGTAGAACTAACTCTCTGCACCTTGATTTCTTATCTGAATAAATGAGAGAGCTGAACAACTTATAGTTGCATTCCAGCTCTGAAACTCTTACTAGAACCTTTTTGACTCACTTATCCAAGATGCGTCTAACAAAATAAACATTATTTTTGCTTTAGTAAGAAGCTACCACTTTAAAGAGATGATTCTCTAAAAGAGAATTAGCAGTAGCATATGGTGTCCTTTAAATCAAATTTTTCCCATTCTATTAAATTTTATAACTGAGATGTTATTTTGATAAAGTAAGTCTCTGTCATGTTTTAGAGTATAAAGTTGCTTCTGCTTTTCAACCCAATCCCTGGGTATAGAAAATAATCATCTTTTGAAATTACCTTGTATATATAATTTCTTTTGCCAGTTGAAATACTTGAGTTAGTTTTTTTAGTCATGTCATGTTAGTGTAAAATTATACTTTTATCCTCTGTGTGCAAATTGGTATTATTGACAGAGAACATTAAATCTGTAGAAAAATTTTGTAAGAGTTTATTAGAGTTTAATTTGAACCGAACATATGCCTGGAAGCAAGATCTCTATGGACAGAACAATGTTTCCCAGGACAGTTTGCGGTTTCTTTTTTGCATTTGGAATTAAGGAAAGAACGGCAAGGAAGATTACATGGAGGTGGGAGAAAGCAAGGCAGGGATTACGGAATAATAACAAGATTGTGTGCTCTCTTCCAGGGGTCTAAAAAATAGGCATTTCAAAGGTGCCTGAACTTAGATGTACAAAAACAATGGGCAGAGCTCGCTTGGAGCAAAGATAAACCTTTTACTAAAGAAGTTAAAGTCTCTGGAGCATGGCTACCTACCATGACCTGCTCAGTTAAGAATTTATAATCAGAGCATCCTGAGGTTATTTTACATTAGATTTATTACAGTATCCATTTTTTGTCCACAGTATGCATATTTTAATGTCTTAGAAGTGTATAGAAAATTATAGATTCTTGTGTTTTCTTAAGTAAAATCTTATAGTTTCACAATTTGATGATTATAGTGGTAAGTTTTTCTGCTGAAAACAACAAGCCTCAGAGTGTTTAACACTTGTTCATAATTTAATACACTCTTCTCTTTGGTCAGTTTAATTTATTTGTATCTCCATATTGCTGACACTATGAATGCAGTGTTTAAATACAAAGTGAACTGGATATAATTTAGTATGACTTATTAAAGATGAATGAACAATAGGATTAATCACATTAACTAAGTCTGCTGATAGTATCTATTTCCATGTCTATAGATACAGGTATTATAGATGTAATACTAGTGACTTTGTAACCATAAACAATAATACATGTAATTTCTGTGAAAGTGTACATTTTGTCTTTGAAAAATGACATTATAGAGCAGTGGTTCTCAACTGAGGTAATTATTGCTGTCCTCCTTCCTCCGGGGACATTTGGTAATGTCCGGAGACATTTTCCATTGTCACAACTAGGAGGTACTATGGCACCTAGTGTGTAGAAGCAAAGGATGCTATTAAACACCTTGCCATCAATGCAGAGGACAGTTCATAAAGAATTATTCAATCAAACAGTCAATAGTGCCATGATCGAGAAACCCTGATAAAAGGAAAGTCACATCTTGCCTGGCACATGGTATTTAAAGTGCTGTATGTTCATTTTCTGTATTATTTGTCTAGAGCAGAGGTTCTCAACCTGTGGGTCGCGACCCCTTTGGGGGTCGAACAACACAGGGGTCGCCTAAGACCATCGGAAGACATATATAATTACATATTGTTTTTGTGATTAATCACTATGCTTTAATTATGTTCAATTTGTAACAATGAAATCGGGGGTCACCACAACATGAAGAACTGTATTAAAGGGTCGCGGAATTAAAAAGGTTGAGAACCACTGGGCTAGAGTCACAAAATTGCTTGATGCAATCATTACCAAAAATAGTAGACAGAAACTAGAAAGAAAAAGTATGTTAAGTTTAAGAGTGGGCAAGTGGAATAAAGAATTGTATTTATTTGGCCCCAGTCAGTGTTGTTCAATAGCTGAGTGCCAATCAGGAGGTCACAGTTCGATTTTTGGTCAGGGCACATGCCCACGTTGTGGGCTCTATCTCCTGATCCCCAAGGAGGGACGTACAGGGGGCAGCCGATCAGTGATTCTCTCTCATCATGGATCTTTCTTTCTTTCTTTCTTTCTTTCTTTCTTTCTTTCTTTCTTTCTTTCTTTCTTTCTTTCTTTCTTTCTTTCTTTCTCTCTCTCTCTCTCTCTCTCTCATCATTGATGTTTCTATCTCTCTTTTCCCTTTCCCTTCCTCTCTGAAATCAATAAAAAATATTTTAAAACAATTTTAAAAATTGTATTTGTTTGAGATTTGAATTAAGAATAGGTTGTAATGCCCTAGCCAGTTTGGCTCAGTGGATAGAGCATCCGCCTGCAGACTGAAGGGTCCCAGGTTTGATTCCAGTCAAGGGCACATGCCTGGGTTGCATGCTGGATACCCATTGGGGGTGTGCAGAAGGCAGCCAATCAATGATTCTCTCTCATCATTGATGTTTCTATCTCTCCCTTTCCTTCCTCTCTGAAATCAATAAAAATATATATTTTTTAAAAAGATTAGGTTGTGCCCTGACCGGTTTGGCTCAGTGGATAGAGTGTCAGCCTATGGACTCAAGGGTGCCAGGTTCGATTCCGGACAGGGGTGTGTGCCTCGGTTGCAGGCACATCCCCAGTGGGGAGTGTGCGGTGGTGGCTGATGGATGTTTCTCTCGTCAATGTTTCTAACTCTCTGTCCCTCTCCCTTCCTCTCTGTGAAAAATCAATAAAATATATATATTTTTTAAAAGATTAGGTTGTAAGAATATTTAGGACAAACATTTGCTTTTATATAAAATTTTTGTCAATCAAAGTGTTAATTGCAGCAACCACTTTACTGAATACATATGTTTGCTGATATTAGGCTCCAAGAAAATCATGCAGCTGAAGTGAAAAAAGTAAAAGCACAAGTAGAGGATTTAAGGTGCCTTCTGGCCCAGTCCCAAAATGAGTTACAGAGTTTAAAATCTGAACTTCAGGCTCAAAAAGAAGCAAATTCAAGAGCTCCAACAAGGACAATGAAAAATCTAGTGGAAAGGTTAAAGAGCCAATTATCCCTTAAAGAGAAACAACAAAAAGTAAGTAACAACATTGTCAACATTCAGGAAATACATGTGGTAGATTGCTTTTAGAGTAGAGTTGTAAGAGATGATATTATCTCTCTCTCTGTTGTAGGAAAGAGTTTGAGCCTCATTTTATGCTGTGAAGTAGGGTTTTTTAAGATAATTGTTTTAAACATCCTGATTTGTGGGTTATTTGTAGAAAATAAGAGGAGATCTTATTTTATTATTTCCTTTCCTTTTCGACTGGGATTTTATGCTACTGTGAGGCTATTTTGAAGAATTTGAATAACTGAACAATTTTGAAAAATTTGGGGATTAGTTGGGCGATATGACAGTGAATAAGAAAGGCTAAAGAAGAAGGTTACAGAGATACTTTTATGAAAAGAAGTTGGTCACTGGGTTATCTGATTTATTAGTTTTTTAATTTATCAGATTTGATATATTCAAATGTCTTAGAAGTTACTGTTGTTTTTCTGTGCTAGCTCAAGTAATTTATTGGAAAATTCTAAGCCCTTTTTTAGTCTTGTTTCTTTCCTAATGTACTTAAATTCAATTAATTTCATATGGAAGTATGTATTGAGTAATATGGATAAATACCTAAATTTGGATATTTGAAACCAAAACATACCTGGTTTTTATAATAAAAGTTTCCTGATTTAATGCTATGTTCCCAAACTTATTAATGTCAAGATTTTGAACTCTCATACTCAATTTTAAAATAATTGAATTCAGTTACTAAAGGAAATTTATTTGAAAAAGTTGGGTTATTAGTTTATGATTATGTTTGCTTAAACATATGGCATTTTAGGAAAATAGTTGAAAGTAATAAAGCCTACTTATATTTAGTATTATATATTGCTCATATAAAATATCAGATTTTCCCCAAAAAAGTGGTATATCTGTTATAATTTTTAGGCACTTAGTCGAGCACTTTTGGAACTCAGAGCGGAAATGACAGCAGCGGCTGAAGAACGTATTATTTCTGCAACCTCTCAGAAAGAGGCGAATCTCAATGTTCAACAGATTGTTGATCGACATACCAAAGAGCTAAAGGTGAACATCAACACATTTATTAATATTAAAAAATCCTGATAATTCCATTAGAAGAGAATCCACCTTTTTTTGTTAATAATAAGTATCTTTATTACACTTATGTACTGATTATCATCTTGGAATTAGCAAAATATAGGCTATTATAAGCTACTCTTCCTAATAGAATTAAATTTAAGAAACATTTACATAAAATTTTTTAGTGTGTATATATTTTTTTCTTTCTTTTGCTATATCAGAATTTTCTATCTGGTTTTTGCTAGTTTATGAGTTAATTAGCTTTCCTTTTTTATCCCCTGAAATAGTTTATGAGAATCATGTAGTTCTTGACTTTTAATCTGTAGAGCTACTTGGCTCTGAAAACTATTTTTGAAATTATTATTTTGGGGCAATGTATTTAATTATTTTATTACCTGACTGTTAGGTTTGGTAGTTTAAACTTTTCCCCCCAAAATATATATATTTCATAATGATTTTTAAATTTCTTTACACAAGTTTCATATACTATATTCTAAGTAAAATAATAAAATTCTTTTTATATGTTGTTTTTGTTTATAATTTTGACTTGCTCTTTGTTTATATGTATATGCACTTCATTACCATTAAACTGTATAATGATTAGATTTTACTCAGACTTTTTAAAATAAATTTTTAATATATTATTGACTAGGGGCCTAGTGCACGAATTTGTGCACCTCGAAAGGAACTGTGGGCCGCGAGGCTGCGGTGGGCACAGGGCAGGTCTCGGCCCATCCTCTGCGCCCCCGCCAGCCCCTCCCAATGTGGCCCCTGGTCTCCTATCTGCTGGCAGCCCTGCTCCCACCGCTGCCGCTCCCACATGCTGACAGCGCCAGCCTCACTCACACCTGCTGATGATGTGGAACAATTGGGGCCAGTGCCAGCAATGTGTGCAGGTGGGACCAGTGCCATCAGCAGGTGCGAGCGGCGGCTGCCAGCCCCGATTGCCCCTCAGGAGCAGGGGGAGGTGAAGTCCTCAGGAGCAATCAGGGCCTACAGCTGCTGTTTGCACTTGCTGACGGCGCTGAGTGATTGGGGCCGGCGCCAGGTGCCGGCAGCAGGTGTGAGCGGCGGCTCTGGCAGCCAGTGCAGGTGGAACCAGCACCAGCAGCAGGTGTGAGTGTCCAGCGGGACTGTGTCATGTGGGAGCAAAGAATTTTCAGTAAGGACCAGAGGCTCGCCCCAATGACAGCGACTAGCTGCCCCACCTTGGTCTGGCACCCCCGCTCACCTGCTACACCATCGCGCCCGCCATGTTCCGCGTGTGCCCCCGGTGGTCAGCGCACATCATAGTGACTGGTTGTTCGGTTGTTCCGCTGTTTGGTCTATTTGCATATTAGCCTTTTATTATGTAGGATTTCAGAGAGGAAGGGAGAAGGAGAGAGAGATAGAAACATCAATGATGAGAGAGAATCATTGACTGCCTCCTGCATGCCCCCCACTGGGGATCAAGCCCACAACCCAGGCATGTGCCCTGACAGGGAATTGAACGGTGACCTCTTGGTTTATAGGTCAATGCTCAAGCATTAAGCAACACCGGCTGGGCTTACTCAGATTTTTTCAATCTTCCATTGCACCTATCAAGATTATGAGCATAGTCAACAGTAAAAATCCATTATTTAATAATTATAAATAAGTAATAACCCTTTGTTAATGTCTTCTTTAATACCTTTCTCTTTTCCTGTAATGGCTTCTCAGAATTCTTCATATTCTTCAACTCCTTTTCCTCAAAGCCTTATCTAATTTCTCTGGGAAAATTTATGTTTTTCTCCTAGCTGCATTATATACTACTCATTTCTGTGATTATTATTACTAGCAATACTTTTTGTGTGCATTAATTTATTCAAAACATTTTTTAAAATATATTTTTATTGATTTCAGAGATGAAGGGAGAGGGAGAGAGAGATAGAAATATCAATGATGAGAGAGAATCATTGATTGGCTGCCTCCTGCATGTCCCCCACGGGGGATTGAACCCACAACCTGGTCATGTGCCCTGACTGGGAATCGAATTATGATCTTCTGGCTCGTGGGTCAATGCTCAACCACTGAAGCCTGCTGGCCAGGCTCAATAAAATATATTTTAAGTACCAGTATTTCCATCACTGTTAATGTATAGGGCAGCAAAGACCTCCTTCCTATGTGTACTTTCTTAAGCATATTGTCTAGTATTGCCAGTTACCCTTTTATGTCTTGTCTTTACAAAGTAAATTAGAAATTAATTCAAGTCAGAGATTTCATTTATACTACTCTGAAGTTTCATAGTGTTTAAAACACTGCTGTATACATTCTACATTGTACTTGTTTCTTTAATAAATTTTTCACCCACATTGAAACATTTACTTATCCTTATTTAATAAAATTTTGGCCCAAGATATTTGTTGAAGATGAATTGCTTTAGATTGTTTCTTCATGTTTTGTTTTATATTTTTTTCTCAAAGTAGACTTGATTAATTGTAATGAAGATGGAAGAATATATATAGTTTGTGGTTGATTTTTTTCCATTATATTTAAACATTTAGATTAAAAACTTTTTTCTTAAGTCTTAATGGTGTAATTTCATATTATATTGCTTTTATCATTAATATTTGGTAAAGATTCATGAATTAAATTTTTCTTTATTTTATATATTAGTCACAAATTGAAGATTTAAGTGAAAATCTTTTAACATTGAAAGAAGCTCTTAAAACAAGTAAAAACAGAGAAAATTCACTAACTGATAATTTGGATGACTTAACTAATGAACTACAAAAAAACCAAAAAGCCTATAATAAAATGCTTAGAGAGAAAGATGAAATTGAACAAGAGAATGATGAACTGAAAAGGCAAATAAAAAGACTAACCAATGGATTACAGGTAATTTTATATTGTGATAATATCTTTGATTTATATGTAGGTAGCAGTTCATTCCCACCTTTTAATTTCACATATATTTGCTGGAACTAGCTTGCATGTCCCCTTGATTAATTTAGCTAATTCCTTCAGTGATCTCCACTATATTTATAATTTTAAAGAAGTATATCTTATTGAAATGTAGAAACAATTACCATGTTATATATCAGTAGTGTCATTTAGAATGTTTGGTAAACTATAGTCTCAGAAAATTTCTGTAGTTGGAATATTTGGTGTGTATTTTGTTTGATACTTTTTTACTTATAAAATGTTAAAATGCATATTATTTTTCAGGGCAAAACTCTGATAGATAATAAACAAAGTTTAATTGAAGAACTCCAAAAGAGAATTAAAAAGCTAGAAAGCCAACTAGAAAGAAAAGTGGATGAGGTAGAAATAAAGCCGATGAAAGAAAAGGTATGTGGAGAAACATACTGATCTACTTAAGGTGGTGCAAGACTAAGTTAAATAAGTAATTGATGAATAGCTAATATACTATATTAGTTTGAGGACCTAATATATTTTAAGTGATACTGAATAATGTAGAGAAGTCTAAGACAAGTGTACTTGAGGAGACCCCTATAATGTCATTCTTACTTGGAAATTACTACATCATGTCCATGTCATCTTCCTGACATCCAAAAATCTCTGCACATTTTGCTTATTTATTTATCACTTCTCCCAATGTAGTTGTTGACATTTAATGATTTGACCTTTGGGGGAAAAGCTGGGCATTTTTCTCCTCTACCTTGACCCAAATGTGTCCTTTTATCCTTCAGTAGGCAGCACTGTTCTTTCAGGGTAAACAATGTGACTTGGAATATAGTCAGTATTTACAGCAATATTAAAGTAACCAACCCACTCTTAAATTGATTCTATAATGTAAGAAAAATTGCTTAAAATTTCCTACAATTTAAGTAAACTATCCTAATAATAGACAAAGATGGTATTAGACTGCACTTTTACTACACCTCCCATTAGCTAATCAGCGCGATATGCAAAATAACCGCCAACAAAGATGACAGCTAATTTGCATACTGCAGGCAGGGCGGGACAGTGCGAGCTGCCATCCGGGCCCCATGTGCAGACCTGGGCGGTGGGACTTAGGGGGAGCAGGCCTAAGCCGCAGTCCGACATCCCCCTAAAAGCTCCCCAGCTGCCAGAGGGATGTCTGACTGCCAGCTTAGTCCTAATCCCCTGGGGAGCAGGCCTAAGTTGACAGGTGGACATCACCTGAGGGGTCCCAGACTGCGAGAGTGCACAGGCTGGGCTGAGGGACCTCCTCTCCCCCCGAGTGCACGAATTTTCATGCACCAGGCCTCTAGTTTTATAATAAAAATTACTGATAGAGCCCTGGCCAGTTGGCTCAGTTAGTTTGAGCATCATCCTGGTCAGGCACATGCTAAGGTTGCAGATTGATCCCTGATCAGGGAGCAACCAATCGATGTTTCTCTCTCACAGCAATACCTCTCTCTGTGTCTCACTCTTTCTTCCTTCCCCTCTCCAAAATCAGTAAACATGCCCTCGGCTGAGGATTAAAAATAGAATTAATCAATCCAAAGAAAAACTAACATTAGCTAAAATATATGTAATTAATTTTGGATAAATGATAAATTGAAGATTTTATCTTGTTGGTAGCATTGAAAATATCAAAAGTGCCCTGGGAAATGTTGATGCTAGTGGTAATGTTTGCCCCTGAAGAAAATCACAGTGGAGGAACTATGGTTAGGAAAAATTTATCCAGAAAATATAAAATAAATTTTCATAACATGAAAACTACATATTTTAATGACTCTGTATAGAAAATAGGGAATAGGACTAAATGTTTTAACAGAGTATATTACAAAAAGTGTCAAAATTGACCAATGTCAGTATAATTTTGATGAAAATGCTTGCATTTGTATACATGGAACCACAACATACTTGCTGTCAGAAGCTTTATTGGTGAAAACTGGAAGATCAAAATGTCTTTACCCTTCTAGATTGCTCTCTTTGCTCTCTCCTTCCTGGGGAAAAGGTCTAAATAATCCTTGGATACCAGTTCCTAATCTGATTGCCATCAGAATACCTCAATAGCCTTGTGGCTTTCCCTGGACTCCTAATCTGTTTCAGTTTATTACGTCTTAAATTAGATAATACTATTTCTATTACCAATTTCTCAAGATTATTTTGACAGTGAAATAATTTGTGAAAGTTTTTTGTAAGCCATCAAGTTCATCCCAGTGTACGACGTTATTACTAACTAGAAATAGAAAGAGAACACAGAAAGTTACACTAATAGTAAAATTTATGGTTAGGAGTCTAGTGAGAATTTTCTTTCAGATTACACAGTGCTGGGCATTCCTAATTCATGAATGTTTTTATACTCAAAGAATCCTTTCATGGAGTATAAAAACAAATTTCAACACCTTTTCCTCTGTAAACAGTGTTTGTAGCCTGTCTGTATTTAAAAAAACCCACCCCGATGCCTTGCAGTCCTATTTTTCTTATGATACTTTACTTTTCTCCATAGGACTTATTACTATCTGACAGACTAGAGATTTCCTTAGCTATGTGTTCATCTTTTGTTCTGCAAGCTTTGATGGCAAGAAATGGCCTGTTTGTTTTATTGTTGTCTCCTTAGCACCTAGAAGAGTCCCTGACATATAGTAGATGCTCAGTATTTGATGAATGAATGAAAAAATTTAAATGCAATAACATTATTCTGAAATCTACATGTAAGAGCTGTTGGAACAGAAAATATGAAAGGATTACTTCTCCCTCCATCCTCTCTTCTTGCCTTCTCTTCCCCAGTCTAGAACAGACCCTTGGTGACATTTGCCTTTGTTGTTTTTATTGTTGTTATTGTTCATTTTTAAATTATTTTCTTTCCTAAGTCTTACTTAAGAGGGTAATGTCAGATGGGATAGAATTAATCCCTACAAAGCAATATATGATGCAGAAAAATTTACCTACATATGTTATGCCCCCAACTAATATTTATATTTCTGGAGGTACACAAAATTCCTGGTTGTATTTCAGGGGGAAAAAAAAAAAAGAAGTTAATGACTATTAAACACTTAGTGAAGTTTTTACATTTTCTTAAAGAATCATTTTTAGCCGAACTAAATAAAAGAGATTAAAAACTTAGCCAGTACGAGAAAGGTTAGTTTTGAGAGGGCAACTTTTTAAAAATGTTTTTTATTAATTTTTAGAGAGAAAGGAAGGGAGAAATAAAAACATTGATGAGAGAGAAACATCATTGATTGGTTGCCTTTGCATGCCCCCCTACTGGGATCCAGCCCACAACCAGGGCATGTACCCTGACTGGGAATCGAACCAGCAACCTCTTGATTCATGGATTGACGCTCAATCACTGAGCCACACCAGCTGGGCAACTTATGTTAGGTGGGCATTTGACTTTCAACTGGGTGTTTGACTTAAAGGTATGGTTGTTAACCCTTTCAACCCCAACATTCTTTTTTTAGAGTAAATACAATGTTTCATGTCTTCTTTACTATTCCAAATTAAATTCCTTGTTAATATAAACTAGTACCTACATGCTTAATTTCAAATTTATCATTATAAATGTCCTAAATAAAAGATAAAGGAAAAGCATAAAAGAAAAATGTTATGAAAATAGTGTATTTATATATTTTTCATATTTCAGCAGATGTAAATGCTCTGGCATGACTACCCTAAAAGTCATAATGGGGTAGTCTTGTCCTTGCACCTCTAGGTTGTGTTAATGTGAATTCAGAGCTATGAATGCAGACTAATACTAGTACAATATATTCTATTGGCAGCTCATATGTCACAGTGGCATTTCCATTTATAGTCTCATTTCTAAAATGATACACAATTGTTGGTATAGTTTTTAGCAAAATTATATGTACAGATTTTCCTTTTATAAGGCTGTTGGCATTCCTAGAAAGTTTATTACATAGTAAAATAATTAAAAATTGCTTGGTAGAATCAAGATATAAGTTCTTAGCTCAGATAGTTGTGAACAGAATTTTTAACTATATGAGTGCCCAGTAGGACATCTGAAACTTGTGCAGTACATGGACTGTTTTGCTCTTTTCTTGGACACTTTATCTTAATTATCACAAAGCATGACACCTATCCCTAAAAGGCCCTAACTCCTTCCCTGTCCCCCATACGTTTTAGCACTTATCACACTAACATAACTACAATTTTTCTTTTCTTGTTTTTTTTTCTATATTTTGCTCCATTTCCCTAATCCATACACTCAACCAACATAAACTGGACTCTAATATTCATGAAGATAGATTATTTTTGGTTAGATTTATTCATTGCTTCTAAGGTAGTACTTGGTACATATCTAGCACTAAATAAATAATTTGTTGAACCAGAAAAGTAACATTCATTGAAGATTTGAAGGGGTCATGATGCTAGGATATTGCTATGGGGTGACAGAATTGGGTTGATCATTTACACATATAGATTCTTTGATACAAGCTTACTGTAGTCATGATTGTCTATATTAAAAATCTTCATGTAAAAACTCCGTAAGGGTGTTATCATTAGTTCAAACTGTTCTCCAGAATTGTAATTGTCAAGTTATAAAATACAGGCTACTTAAACTGAAGGTCATTTTTGCTAATAGCTTGGCATGTCTAACAATTGTAGAAGTTAGAACCTATTTACTTATTTTCTAAGAAGAATTATTTTACCATTGTTCTAGTAAGTTGTAACTGATAACTCTTAAAATTGAAAACAATACTGGTAATTTTCTTCCTCCTTTATTATTGTTTATAGAGTGCTAGAGAAGAATTAATTAAGTGGGAAGAAGGTAAAAAATGGCAAAGCAAAATAGAGGGAATGCGAAACAAGTTAAAAGAGAAAGAAGGGGAAATCTATATTCTAACAAAGCAGTTGAATACTGTGAAGGATCTTTTTGCCAAGTGAGTGTAAAGTAAACCTAATTAATTATGTGTAAAGTCTTTAATTGACCTGGAAGTTATATAGTTTTATTGTTCTTGATACTATAAGAAATCTCTAATTTTAATTATGAATTATTATCTATTATTTTTTATTTTCTTTCTTTAAAATGTGTTTTGAATATATTTTAACAACTATAAATGGGGTTTCCTATAATTTAAAAATAAGTTAGCTCCTAGGAAATGCAGAACAATCTGATTTTTGTATATTGGTCTTATAATGAATAAGCTGCAGTTCAATAAATTGAACAAGCCCCACAGTGGATGGTATGTTTTCATGTTTCTTATTTAATCCCACAGAGTTGATAAAGAGAAACTAACTTTGCAGAGGAAACTAAAAACAACTGGCATGACTGTTAATCAAGTTATGGGAGTGCAAGCTTTGGAGTCAGAAAAAGAGTTGGAAGAATTAAAAAAGAGAAATCTTGACTTAGAAAATGAGATATCATATATGAGGTATACTATTACTTGGAAATGTGCTATCTATACTAATAAAAGGGTAATATGCTAATTAGACCAGATAGACTGGATGTCTTCCAGACATCATTCCAGACATCCCTCCTGACAAAGCTGGGGGCATGGCAGGCCTGAAAACTGCCCGTGGCCCCTTGCCCAGGCTGGCCCCGCCCCCAGCAGGGACTGCCACCCCGATCAGGGGCATGGCCAACCTGTAAACTGCTAGCAGCCCCTGGCCCAGGCCGGCCCCGCCTCCCAGTGGGGACCCCACCCTGATCAGGAGCATGGCCAGCCTGCAAACCGCCTGTAGACCCTCACCCAGGCCGGCCATGCCCCTAGCATGGACTTCCACCCCAATCCGGCCCCACTTAAGGGCAGTCCAGCTGGCCCCCATCCGTGCACCAGGTCTCTATCCTATATAATAAAAGTGTAATTTGCAAATTGACCCTAATGACAGAACAACCGCTGGATCAGTCACTATGAGGTACTCTGACCACTTCTTGGTTCCTTTCCCCGGCCGGGAGGCTCCAATCGCCTGATGGTGAACAGCGAACCAGGGGTGGGTGGTGGCGGGGGGCGGGGCCAGCTGCGGGCAGCTGGGGAAGATGGCCCTGATGACAGGCCAGGCCTAGGGACCATACCCGCGCATGAATTTTGTGCGCCGGGCCTCTAGTTCATTATAATGAAGGAAACTGGTTGACCCATAGAAACTGATAAAATACTAGTAAACATGTTACATATTTTAAAGTTGGGTTCTGTTGATGGCTTTTCTGAATTGAGATATTCCTTTTTTATATGCCATGTAATTTTGAATTGTATTCCTGAAATTTTGAATAATATAGGACACTGGATTTTGGTTAAATGCTCAGAAAATTCTGTTATAATAAAAATAGCTACTCAGCAGGTAGTTGGTCTGGATAGGTTCAGGCCCAAAATTCCCACCTGCTTTCTGTGGGCTGTGATTCCATAATCAGTGCTATTGGCATCTGTCCTGCCTGTGCACTTCCCAGGTGCCAGTCTGGTACGTGTCTCCTTTCTGTTAGTTCAGTCCTCAGAGTCTTCAGTGTTCACAATAGGATCAGATCCATGCATGTACAGCTCAAGGGTGAGCCCAGAAGTTCATAAACAACTTTATAATTGTTGAAGCACCTCCCTTTCTGTCTCACCTTCACCCGCTTTAGGTACTGTCAACCAAACTGGCACTTTAGTTACCCTGTTATCCTGTGTACGTCAGCAATTGTGTACATTTGCAGCCAGGCAAACAACAGAAGGACAGGAAGTCGGTGAGGGTAGGTGGGGGAACTACTTTCTTCCTACCACCTTACCAATCACAGCTAATTGGAGGAAATGATTTCCCTCCATAAAATTTTGCCTCCTCTGGATTCCCATTGCTGTCTATGCCACCACTGCCTATGGTATTGCTTGAGGGTTGAGGCATGAAAGACCAGACAGAAGAAAGAAAGAATGAGGAATTCTTGTACTCTTTGCACTAGAACTTGAAGGCTTCCCCAGAACACTCTCCCTCAGTGTTAATACTCACTTTAATAATGTTTCAAGTAACGTGTTTGAGCTAGTAAATATCAAAGGAAAAGAAAACGTAAATTCATCACCTGTTTGCTAATACTTCAAAGTCTGGAATTTTGTCCCAATCTGTAAACTATTTAACTTTTCAAGTTCTTAAGTAGATGCTCCATGCATTTGGGAGACAAGATTGGGTGTGTTTACTCCACTTTACCTAGAACCAGAACCCTGAAGGCCACTTTTTAGTAAATACTTAGAGATTTTCCTGGTTTGCTATCTCTTTCCAAGCTTTGTCTTGGTAGTGCAAAGAAAAATAAAATCATATCCTAACAACATCAGTTAAAAACATTTATAGATTTCTGTTTCACTCTTCTTCCAAGATGTAGGTAGATTCGCTTTACCTAATTCATTTCTTCCTCTTCAAGGTGTTTATTAATGATCTGGAATCATGTTAAATGATCATTGTAAAGTTGGGTACCTACCTATAATATTTGGATATGAGGATACTTACCATTCTTCAATTTATTCTACTTCGTTTTTCTTTCTATTAATCTTCAAAAATTACCATTAGTGTTTCTTCATTAACATGTGGTGTAGTATCAGTATTAATGTAGTGTAAGCATGTGAAGTTGAACTCCTTTATAGGAATACTCATGAGCTTCTAACTTACATACCATCTGCTTTTCTTCTAAGTCAGCGGTTCTCAACCTGTGGGTCGCGAACAATGAAAATACATCCTGCATATTAGATATTTACATTATGATTCATAACAGTAGCAACATTACAGTTATGAAATAGCAACGAAAATAATTTTATGGTTGGGGGTCACCACAACATGAGGAACTGTATTAAAGGGTCGTGGCATTAGGAATGTTGAGAACCACTGTTAAGTCATTGTTTCCTTAATCCTTCAGAATTTCACTTGATGGAGAAGGAAAATGTGGTTGAAGAATTCTTCTTTCCTTTGACACCTATTTATAGTTACTATCTGGTCTTGGTAGTGGCTTCTTCCCTCTTATTTTTTTTTTCTTAGTCAACCTATATATTCAGAGCAAAACTAAATCCTTTTATTCTCCTTTTCGGTTTTTACAGGAATCAAAATATTTTAGATTGAAAACTTCAAATACTTTAGAGGTTTAATTGCTCTGTTTTTCCTTAATGATGAGAATCTGTGTGGGCTGAAGTATTTGGAAAAGATTTTTTGTGGTCTAGCCTTTGTCCTAACATGTGGTCTATCTTTGTGAATGATCCATGTGCACTTGAGAAGAATGTATATTCTGTTGCATTGGGGTGAAATGTCTGTAAATGTCTATTAAATCCATCTGTCCTTTAGAGTTTTGGTCTGGAAGATCTGTCCAATGAAGTCAGAGGGGGTGTTAAAGTCCCTTCACTAAAGCCCTCTAGAAGTTTTTTTATATATTTAAGTGCACCTATATTGGGTACATATATGTTTACCAAGGTTATATTCTCTTGTTGGATCTATCCCTTTAGGATTATGTAGTGACTTTTGTTGTCTCATGATGGCCTTAATTTTAAAGTCTATTATGTTAGATATGAGTATTGCTACTCCAGCTTTTTTTCTTTTCCATTTGCAAGGAAAAATTTTTTCTAGCCCTTCACTTTCATCCTGTGTGTGTCTTTCGTTTTGAGGTGGGTCTCTTGTAGACAGCATATAGTTGGATGATGTTTTTGTATCCATTCAGTTACCCAACGCCTTTTGATTGGAGCATTTAATCCGTTTACATTTAGGGTTATTATTGAGAGGAACTTATTTATAGCCATTTTAATTCTGTATGGCTAGGTTTTCTCTCTCTGTTTCTTCTTCTCAGCAATCCCTTACAGCAATACCTTTAGCATGTCTTGTAATGCTGGCTTGGTGGGTGATGTACTCCTTTAGCCTTTTTTTGTCTGGGAAGCTCTTTATTTGACCATCTATTTTTGAATGATAGCCTTGCTGGATATAGTAATATTGGTCTCAGATCCTTGCTTTCCATTACCTTGAGTACTTCATGTCATTCCCTTCTGGCCTGTAGAGTTTCTGATGATAAATCAGGTGTCAGCCTTATGGGAACTCCTTTGTAGGTCACAGTTTTCTTTTCTCTTGCTGCCTTTGAGATTCTCTCTTTGTCTTTAATTTTTGGCATTTTAATTATGATGTGTCTTGGCTGGGATCTGTTTGGGTTCTTCTCGTTTAGGGTTCTCTGTGCCTCCTGAACTTTTATGACTTTTTCCTTTACCAGGTTAGGAAAGTTTTCTAACTTATTTCTTCAAACACCTTCTCTATTCCTTTCTCCCTTTCTGTCCCCCCTGGCACACCTGCTATTCTAATATTGGTATGTTTCACGTTGTCCTACAGCTACCTTAAGCTGTCCTCCTGTTTTTTTAATTGCTTTTTCATTTTAGTTCTCTGATTAAGTCATATTTTCAATTCTGTCTTCTAATTCACTGGTTTGATCCTCAGATTCCTCCATTCTGCTGTGTATTCCTTCCAATGTGTTCTTTATTTGTGTTATGTCATTCTTTATCTCAAACTGTTCTTTTTTCATAGTTACTATATCTTTTTTCATACTGTTTAACATTTTTACCATCATTACTCTGCTGCCATATTTAATCTGAGGATCATTTTATAATGTAAATAGTCATGTCCTAATTTAATTTTATAAAGTTTATAAGTTTTTTAGAATTTAAAATAAGTACAGTGTAAATAAATATGTTATATATTTTCATTCTCTCCTGTATAGTTTAATATAAAAAGCACAGTGAGAAGTTGAAGTTTGATAGTAAAGAGACTGTGGTTGTTCTTTTTAGGACCCATCAGGCTCTTCCTCGAGATTCTGTTATAGAAGATTTACGTTTACAGAACAGATACCTCCAAGAAAAACTTCATGCTTTGGAGAAACAGTCTTCAAAGGTTATCTCTTCTAGGCCTTCTGTAAGTGCTTTTCTTTTCATATTTTTAATGGTCAACTTTGGAAGTAAAATCAATTTTTACCTTTATCTGGGCAAAACCAGTATATCTCTGTGCTTAAAATGTATTAATACAATCAATTCAACTTTTATTTTTAGTAGTTACTGATATAAACTTCTTTAATCCTTCTTATATAATAACTGTAAACTTAAGATTCTTATGATGCTTATATAACTTCATTACAAGTGATTTCTAGAGACTTTAAATGTAGTTGTTATGAGTTTGCTGTGGCAAGACTATGCAATTAAGTAAAGTAGGAAAATATGTTATTGCATTATTATCCATCAAACATGTGACAGTGTTTTTAGTGTTCTTTATAAAGACTCATTAATGAAGAATTGTTAGACTCTTACTTTAAATCACTCAGTGTGTACCCTTTTATTATTGTTTTTCTTTTCTTTTCATGTTTTCTCTTTTTCTGCCTGAAGCAGAAACTGTTACATAACACAAGTACTCTTTCTACCCTTTCTAACAGTGTTAATAAGTACAGGCACAATATTTTTCACAAAAAGAACACTTTATACAGGAACAACAACAACAACAAAACCCTAAGAGTGCTCAGAATTAAAAATGGGAAGGGAGCCCTGACTGGTTTGGCTCAGTGGATAGAGCATCGGCCTGCGGACCGAAGGGTCCCGGGTTCGATTCAAGTCAAGGGCATGTACCTTGGTTGCAGGCATATCCCCAGTGTGGGGTGTGCAGGAGGCAGCTGATTGATATTCCTCTCTCATCAATGTTTCTAACTCTTTATCTCTCTCCCTTCCTCGCTGTAAAAAAATCAATAAAATATATTTAATAAAAATAAAAATGGGAAGGGAATAGTTACCAATGACAACTTATATCATCAGGAATTGAGAAATACTCTACAGCAGCGGTTCTCAACCTGTGGGTCGCGACGCCTTTGGGGGTCGAACCACCCTTTCACAGTGCTCGCCTAAGACCATTGGAAAACACATATATAATTACATATTGTTTTTGTGATTATACACTATGCTTTAATTATGTTCAATTTGTAACAATGAAATTGGGGTCACCACAACATGAGGAACTGTATTAAAGGGTTGTGGCATTAGGAAAGTTGAGAACCACTGCTCTACAGTATCATAGTAAGAAGAGAAAACACAAAGCAGACTATGTTGTAGATCCTACTGAGTTAAATATATCTGAGGCAAGGCCAAACAATAAATCAGGTCTACTTAGGCTAAATGATGATACCTTGGCAGATTTTAACTCCAGTATAGAAAATGATCCAGATCCTGAAATTGAGAAAATTAATCAAGACTGTTGTGAAAATAATAAGCAGGAATATAAAGTCAAAGAAGAGAATGAACTAGTGAAGAATGGGAAAGTAAAGGAACACATAGCTGAAGACCTCAGTCACAGCAGCTGCACAGACCCAGAAGAATCTCCCGGGGAGGACCAGGCTCCTGCCGCAGTTGCTGCTGCAGTGGATCAGTGTGCTGAGGAGGCTAACTCTGAGACTGACGTACCAGTCCAGCCAGGAAATGGCGGGCCCCAGGTTTGAGTACATGGCAGTCCTTTATTTCTTTGGTAGCTGAATTTTCTTATAGCAAGTAGTATACATATGTAGTACAAATGAAAAAAAGAGTTGTGTAGGATTTGTAAAAAATAGTAATTATTAGTAAACTTCTCCTTAAACTAACATTTGACTAGTTCTTGCAAAATTAATGATTATGCATTTCCTAAATCATTTTAGTACTCCCTATTTTACCATTGGTGCTCACTTGAAATGATTAGATTAGGTAACAGAATAACAAAAGTAAGGCACTTTAGAGGTGTTTGTTTTGCCTTAGAAATTTCTAATTCAGCATGCTATAAAATCTCAATACAAGTAAAATTTCATACAGTGAATAATATCAATAAAAATTTTTTGTGATGCTGTGTGACATTCTAACATGCATAGCAAGTTCCTTCAGTGGTTTTTTTCCCAGGTATTATAAAGATACTTTTTTTATAATGAAAAAAGGGAACTTACATGTATTGCTATCTATGTTGTGTTAGACTCTCTATCTACGTTTAATATCCCCAATACTTTGCAGATTATTATTGGTGATTTACATGGGAAGCTTAGAGAATAACATCTCTAGCGATTGATACAGAACACTTCCTTTCTCTGTAACCAATCAAAATATGTTTAAAACAAAAGAATTACTTATAAAAAAAAAAGATGCAGAACAGAATTTTAATGCAGGTCTAACAGCCTAACTCTACAGTTTATGAACTTTTTGTGTACACATACTTTTGGGCAGTTTACACGATATGGAATAAGACAAGTTTTTTTCCCAATTGAAGTCAAATAGCATTTCTTTTTTTTCCTTTATCCTTTCCACCTAAGATATTTCAGTCAACTAAGTTCTCAAAACATTTACTAAAATCACACCTTTAAATGTTCAGAGAAAATGGATGAAAGTTAATTCTCATTTCTTTTGTCAGGTTCATAATGGTTCCTTTTCCCCCCACTACATAAGTAACTGAGAATTTGAGACTTTCTACTTTATAGAAAAAAGTAATCAAGCACAGATTTCTCTTTCAAATAACCTGTGGTTTAGAATGAGATTAAAAATGAACATAAGTAAAACCCAAAGTGGATTTATGCCAAGAGAAATGCAAATACAGTGTTCCTGATGAGGGAGTGATTGCTTCAGCTCAAGGAATGAGGAAAGCTTTCAGAAGGAGGAAGGAATTGACGCACTATTTTTGTAGGCTTGTGTGTATTGGTTTGCTATGGCTACCATAACAAAGTACCACAGATATGATGGCTGAAATAACACGAATGCATTCTCACAGTTCTGGAAGCCAGAAATCCAAAATTAAGGTATTAGCAGGGTTAATTCCTTCTTCAGGCTGTGAGGGAGTATCTGTCCAGCCCTCTCGCATCATCTGTTACATGGCAGTCTTCTCCCTGTGTCTTCACATGTCGTTCTTTGTTATATGTCTGAGTGCAAATTTCCTTTTTGTATAGGAACACTAGTCATTGGAGTAGGGCCCAACCTAATGACCTTATTTTAACTTGATTTTCTCTGCAAAGGCCCTATCTCCAAATAAGGTCCTGAAGTACTGAGAGTTAGGATTTCAGCATATGAATTTGGGAGTGGGGTGCAGGTGGAGTATAATACAGTCATACTTTATTATTGGACTGAAAATAAAAACATTATAGTTTAGTTGTTATGAGAGTATTTATGGAAGCATTCATTATATGTGTAGACACTGTTAAGTGATACTTGACTTTGCTTTCAATATTAATTAAAATATATGACGTTTTCTCCTGCAAATTTTATATTCTTACTTATTTTTGGTTGTTTTCGCCAGAGCTCTCCATATTCTTTTGAGGAAAATGGTCCATTTTAGCATTGTGTTTTCTGATTCAGTATGTCTTATGCAGGTTTTATTTATTAAACCTTAAAAGTATTTCTAACTGTATTTTCCTGAAGACTTCAGAAATAGAGTCAGATGATCATTGGCAAAGAGAACAGGAGCTTCAGAAGGAAAACTTGAAGTTGTCATCTGAAAATATTGAACTAAAATTTCAGCTTGAACAAGCAAATAAAGATTTGCCAAGATTGAAGGTAAATTTAGTATTCTTTATTACAGTTAGGAAATCTAATGCCTGAAAACCTTTTTCTTCCTATTTAATTGTTATGCTTACCATATTAGTTTATGAAGAAGTAAAAAACTCATATTCATAAAAATGTTATACTTTCTACATTTATTCTTTTAACAATTACTTGTTGAGGGTCTACTTTGTTGTTTTTTTAAAAAAATATATATATATTTTATTGATTTTTTACAGAGAGGAAAGGAGAGGGATAGAGATTAAAAACATTGATGAGAGAGAAACATCGATCAGCTGCTTCCTGCACACCTGCTACTGGGGAGTGGGGCTGCTGGCCGACAGGGAAATTGGGGCTGCGGTGGAAGGGGCCAGGCAGAGGCATGGAGGATGGGCCGAGACCCGCTGTTGTGCCCACTGTAGCCTCACAGCCCACAGTTCTTTTTGAGGTGCACAAATTCGTGCACTGGGCCCCTAGTCTGTATATATATAAAAGCCACGCAACTGGAACGACCGGTTGCTATGACAGGCACTGTGGCCAGCCAGCTGACCCAATGGGGACCGGCCCGGCCGGCCAACCTCCCACAGCCCCTCCCACTGGCCAGCAGGCCCTGATCTGCCTGATCAGGGTGGGCTGGCCAGACCCCATCCATGCACGATTTCATGCACATGGCCTCTAGTATAGTATGTCAGCTTATGTTAAGTGCTAAGGAGAAACAGCATGGTTGATGTGAATGTGGTGTGTGAGGGGGAGGAGGGGGTTTGAGGAATTGCTATTGAAAATACTGTATTGCCCTGGCCGGTGTGACTCGGTTGGGCATCATCACGTGCGCTAAAATGATTCCTGATCATTGTACATGGCTGGGTTGTGGGCTTGATTCCAAGTAGGGGGCATATAGCAGGTAGCCAATTGACATTTTGCTCTCACATCGATGTTTCTCTTCCCCTCTCCCTCTCTCTCTAAAACAAACATGTCAAACTCAAAGGCTAACATAGACCAAATAAACAAGGTTTAAGTTTATGTGGGCCACAAAAAAAAGCTTCAATTTTCATAGAAACGTAGGTTTATTTCGATAGAGACATGCTGAATACAAAGGGCTAAACTAAATGAGACATAGTTAACATAAAATAATAGAATATTTTAATAAAAATTAATATTTTTTCTTGTACATTAACTTACCAGACACTGAATAACTGCACAAATTAATAAATGTAACTCAAATAAACCTATTTTTCTTGTTCTCTGAAAGCACAATATTTCCTGTTGCACACACCAAACAAGTCAGTCTAAGGCTAATGACGTGACAATCAGCTGCTAAAATATTCGCTGCTAGTATTAGTGGAGAGAAATGGTACACCTGTATGTAAGGCGCATAAGGAAATGAATGCAACATGATTATAGTAATAAGTCATTAGCAAACGTTGTAATTCGTTATTAATAACTAGAGGCCCGGTGCACAGATTCATGCACTGTTGGGGGTCCCTTGGGATGGCTTGCGGGGATCAGGCCAAAACAAGCAGTCCAACACTGCCTGCCGCTCCTGCCTGCTGCTCTTGCTCATCCTGGCCCCACTGTGCCTGCCACCACCACCACTCAGTAGGCTTGCCGCTACTCCGTGCACCCATCCTAGTATGATACTGTCGTGCCCATGACCAGGAAGCGGCCGTGGGCTCATGCCCAGCCGGTCCAATCCTGGTCCTGGTCCTGGTCCTGGTCCAAATGGGGGAGGGTTGCGCAGGGGGAGTTTCCACAAGAGAGGCTCACGCCACCACAAATGTGCTCGCCAGCCGTGAGCCCAGTGTCTGGTGCCCATCAATCAGCTGAGCAGCGCTCCTGCTGTGGGAGCGCATTGACTACCAGGGGCAGCTCCTGCATTGAGAGTCTGCCTTCTGGTGGTCAGTGCACATCATAGTGACCAGTCGACCAGTTGCTTATGATTTTATATACATAGATTATGTATAACAGGATATTTTAGAAATTAAGTTACAAAATTTTTATTATAATATTTCTTACAGACCGTTACATTGGTTGGGCTGCAGAAATAGTCCTTGTAGGCCACATGTGGACCATGGGCCACAAGTTTGACATGCTTGCTCTAAAAATAATATAATAATAATAATAAATAAAAATCTTTAAAATACCCTAGTAAGGAAGCTCTGCCCAGTAGCTCAGGTAGTTAGAGCATTGTGCCAATACACCAAGGTTGCAGGTTCGATCCCTGTTCAGGGCACATACAAGAATCAACCAAAGAATGCATACATAGTGGAACAACAAAGCGATGTTTTTCTCTTTCTCTCTCAAATCAATCAATTTAAAAAGATATATGGTAGTTAGCAAAATATGATATTTTAGCAGAGAGCTAGGGACAAATAAAGAAGTGGGTCATGCAAATAATTGAAAAAGAGTTCCAGACAACAAATAGCAAGTTCAAATGCCCAGCACTAAGAGGATTCCTGGTGTACTTCATTAACAGTTTTCACACTTTAAGATATTAGGATATCTCTAGAAAAATTAAATCTTTAAATTAAAAATATATTAGGTTAATTGTCTCTCTTAGAAATGTTATTTATTTTGATGTTTGTATAAAGTTTATCTTTGGTTTTTCAAATCTTACGCTATTTATGGGAATCTTCTTTTTCTCTTGGCTGGTTAATTGTTTCAGTTCTGTTTTTAAACCTAAAATATTAGCAATCTGTTAATTCCACTGGTAATCATATAATTTAGCTATTTCTTGCTTCACATTGTGATTTTTACACTGTTAGAGCCAGTGTTAGAAGTTCAGTTGTCTGTTTCTCTATACCAGGGGTTCTCAACCTTCCTAATGCCGTGACCCTTTAATACAGGTCCTCATGTTGTGGTGACCCCCAACCATAAAATTATTTTTGTTGCTACTTCATAATTGTAATTTTGCTACTGTTATGAATCATAATGTAAATATCTGATATGCAGGATGTATTTTCATTGTTACAAATTGAATATAATTAAAGCATAGTGGTGAATCACAAAAACAATATGTAATTATGTATGTGTTTTCCAATAGTCTTAGGCGACCCCTGTGAAAGGGTCGTTCGACCCCCAAAGGAGTCGCGACCCACAGGTTGAGAACCACCGCTCTATACCAAATGGGTTTACATATGTAATTTATGGGACATTTAAAATCAGGGTCCCAAACTCAAATTTATATTGCACATTAAGGCAAAAATAGTTCTTGAAATTCATATACATAATACGCTGTATTTATACACTTTAATTCAACATATGTATTAATTCAAAATCCTTTTTGTTGCTAGAGATCCACTAGTTGAGTTTGGTTATTCATTTATAGCGATTGCTAGTTCAGATGCATGGTGTGTCTTTTCTTTCCAATTGCGGTAGCTGTGTTAAGTTGTTATATGTTTGCTTTTAATCTTACAGAATCAAGTAAGAGATTTGAAGGAAATGTGTGAATTTCTTAAAAAAGGAAAAGAAGAAGTTGAGCGGAAACTTGGCCATGTTAGAGGGGTAAGTTTGGGAGAATATCCCATATGTTTGTTTTGGTTTCAGAAGTGGAAATGAAAAAGTAAGTATGGATATGTCCTAACAGCAGTGATATGCATTTACTAGTTTACAGTTTCAGCTTTTATTCTGCTGCATCTACAATATAAAACATTAGTAAGCTTTCCTGTGTTTCAAGTTAATGTTTTATCATCTGCCACACCTTACATGCATTTTATTTCACTTGTACTCCACTTCATCTCTTTTTTTGTTGCATATCTCTCCACACCTTGAAAACATTTAACTTTCAGGAATCATCCTTTTGTTCATTAAGGTAACTACTAAGTGCTCCTTGGTTCAGTTCTAACATTTTGTAATTATTTTATGATGTCCACGGCAACTTCTTAGTATAATGCTCTGTAAACATGTTTCCCAAATTTTTTTTGTATTACTGCTTTTTTCTTTCCATGTATTTTGTATTCACCTTTTACAATAAATAAATGTTACCTACGAGGTCAAGACCAAATATTTAACCCCCTGTTGATATGTTGTTAACTGGTACAAGTGGAAGCAATCATAATGGACAAAAATTTTGTCAAGTAATATTAAATATATGATAGATTTGATAAAAATATTTAATGTCATTACAAAAGTATTCAGACAAATATCTGTTGGCAGTCAGCAACATTCATTTCATCAATAAAAATCTATGTTAATTTAACCTTTTCTAAGTTAATTATGAAAGTATAGAGTATTGAAATTATGTAAAAGTTTATATTTTAGGGTTATTTATTACAGTGTGAATACTGCATAAAATGCCAAACAAGTAAGCAGATTATTTTACTTGACTATTAAAAAACTTTTTACTTTAAATTATAAGCGGTTAAACTTATTAATTGCTCACCCTGCTCTTTTGATAACTTTACACCAGGTTTTTAATTTCAGCTATCTCTTCTATTAGTCAGAAACTGAATTTCTAGTCAATGGTTATTCTTAAAGAAAATCATCTTTGTTATGCTGCAATTCAAATTTGATAACTTATGAGCTCTTTAAAGACAATGTGTGTGGGGGGTTGGAGGGTTATCAAATATAAAGAAAACTGGTATATTGTAATGAACATTAGCTAAATAGAATATTTAGGTTCTTATGTTTATTTATTTGGAACAGACATCAAGGATAGAGTATTTAAGCTGTTACTTAACAGCTGCATGACTTTAGGGATATCAGATCTTTGACTCTTAATTTTCTTATATGTAAAATGAGAATTATAATTCTTAGAGGGTTATTATAATGATAAATTGAAATAATATAAGCTTTGGCTTCAAATGTTAGAAATCAATATGAATATAATAATGAGTTTGGTATGTTATTATTACTTTATATTATAGTCTCTAAAATATTTAACTTAATTGAAAGTTAATATATTCTATTGTAGTCCGGCAGAAGTGGAAAGACAATCCCAGAACTAGAAAAAACCATTGGTTTAATGAAAAAAGTAGTTGAAAAAGTCCAAAGAGAAAATGAACAGTTGAAAAAAGCATCAGGAATACTGACCAGTGAAAAAATGGCTAATATTGAACTGGAAAATGAAAAGTTGAAGGTAATATTTTAAATATGATCATTTGTATGGAATATTTTACTATTATAATTTTTATTAATTTTTAAAGGAAAATTTTAAATATCCATCTACATAAATGGCTTTAATGACTCCAGGAGATATTTTGCACATACAGAAAAGCTTACTGGAAACAAGACTAGGGATAGTTAGAATAACTACTTGATCATTTTATTATTTCAAGACCAATGGTTCTTATTCTGGCAGCATAAAATTACCTGTATCTATTTTCAAAAATATAGATGCCTAAGTCCCCATCCTGGGATTGATTAGATTCCTCTGGGATGGGTGCTATTATAGGTATTGTGATTTAAAATTTTTCAAGTCATCAGTTCATTCTAGTGTGTATAAGCAGGGTTGGGAACCTATGCTGTAGATGACTAGTATTAGATAGAAGACTTTAATTATAATTATGTCAAATATTATCTTTGCAACTACTTTGAATTAAGTGTGATAAGTTTATAAGATCATCTTTTACTGCATTTCATTGTTTTAATAATGTACAGCTATTTCTTTTTATTGCTAGGCTGAATTAGAAAAACTTAAAGCTCATTTTGGACGACAGTTGAGCATGCACTATGAATCCAAGACCAAAGGCACAGAGAAAATTGTTGCTGAAAATGAACGTCTTCGTAAAGAACTTAAAAAAGTATGACTTTCATTAGGGATTATAATTTTATGTTAATTAACTAATACATCTTAGAAAAACTGAATGAAAAAAGTTGATGACATGTTTATTCAAAGTAGTTACTAAGGCTTCTGTGAATTGTTTTTATTTTTGCCATCCTTTAACCATGAGGAATGTTGAAAATAAAAACTTAATAAATTAAGAGGCAGTATAATGTAGAAACTGGGATTTAAATTTTAGCTCTGTCATTTATTAGCCATGGTAACTAGGTGAAGCTACTAACCTATATCCGTAGTTGGGAATAATAAGTATATCTGTTTTACAGAGCTGCTGTAGGGTTTAAGTGAGTGACTTTTTGTACACATGACTTAGAACAATGCCTACTGTGCAATAAGATGTATATGAAACTATTTCGTTAAATGAGCAGTAAGATTCCTTTCGAAGTAGGAAAGTATATTCTTTGCCCGAACAAGTAGGCATTATTATTTATATGGATGATCTAGTGAATAAATTGAAATTAGTATTTTGAATGTTTCCCTTTTTTATTAAATTTATGGTTAACATGATCATATAAGTTTCAGGTGTGGGTTTCTATGTTACTAAGATCTATATATTACACTGTCTATCTACCACCCAAAGTCGAATGTTCAGAGTGATGCTGTTCTTTGAACATGGGTGTTTAATAGTGGAAATAATCTGTGGTACTTATACATAATATATGCGTATGGGTGAGTCTCTCAATTAGAGTCAAAACAAAACATATTTTTAATGTGTAAAGACATAAAATATCCATTATTCTGTAAGTATTATAGACAACAATGACAAACTTAAAGTAACCAAACAAAACGACAAATTTAGAGTAGCCACTCGAATTAAATACTTGTAAATATATTTTTCTAACCCCATTTAAGTGATCTGTTGTTCTAATTATTCTGATTATATTGCTGTTTTAGAGTAAAGAAACATGGGATTTTTATTGGAATTTTAATCAGCATTTAGAACTCCAGATTATTTTTATTTTCTAATTTATAGTGATCATTTTGAATATATTGCATCTGTGACAACAGTGTGACATTTTGTCATAATATACTAATTAGCTCTTAATGACAGGAAACTGAAGCTGCAGAGAAATTGCGGATAGCCAAGAATAACTTAGAGATATTGAATGAGAAGATGACAGTTCAGCTAGAAGAGATGGGAAAGAGGTTACAGTTGGCGGAAAGTAGAGGTCCACAGCTCGAGGGTGCTGACAGCAAGAGCTGGAAATCAATTGTTGTTACAAGGTACGAATAAGTAGTCTAAAACTAACACAATTGAATTAGTTCTAATTCTGCCATTTTAAAAGAATATGACACTATTCTGATTCACTTAGTTCTTTCCTGATGAACTGTTCAGTGGTTTGTTTTAACATGATACTTATTCTTTTTTGATCCTAGCATTGCCAGCGTCTTTTTCTTCCTTCAACTAATTTGGGTAGCAGGGCCTGGGACAGAGCAGAGCTGAGCTGGGCTGAGCTCCTGGAGCTGGATGGGCATCTGGAAGCTGCTGTCAGCCAGGTGCCTAGACGGCTGTGCCATCTCCTCCTGGGCACTGCTTTTGTCCAGCTTACTCAAGTATAAGCCAGGCATAATTGAGCCATTTTGTCACAACCTGTGGCACACTGGTTCTGGGCCGGGCTGTCATTTTGGCATTGTATTCTGTGCAACTTGTTCTTCAAATAACCCCAACAGATGAATTCAGCAACCACTGTAGTGTCTCACTGGCCTCTGCTCCCTTTCACTTGCTTTTCTCCTACTCCGTGAACCTTTTCTACAAGTATGTGTGGTGCCTGACTGTCAAATAAACCTTGTGGCTATGAAAGAGGTGGTGGGAATTCACAAGGTAACATTCCTGTGTGCATTGCCACTGTCACCTCAGTCGTTCATCATGACTGATGAGTCAATAAAAGGCTTTGATGTCAATCTCATTTCCAACCATAAGCAGCTGCTTATCCTATATAATAAAAGCACAGTATGCAAATTGTCCCCTCAACTGGGAGTTTGTCCAGGAGTTCAATGAGGTGGTAGGGCCAGCCAGGCGAAGGGAGGGAGTACCTGGACAGCCGCCGGCAGCCACTAGGGACCCTACCAGTGTACAAATTTCATGCACTGGGCCTTTAGTAATAGTACAAAAGCCTATTTAGTAATAGTACAAAAGAATGGGCAATGAAATCTTGCCCATTCTTTTCCCATTA